TTGTTCCCCTCGCCTTTAATTGAAACCTTTACCATGTCCGAGACAAAGCCACAGACCACAATTCTTGTTTGGTAAGTTAAGCAAAGCCGAGATCTAAATGAAAACCTGGTGCGCATGTGTTCTGTGCTGCTTGCTTGGGCCTCTACTGAAATTTGTCTCTGGTTCGGGTCATTGTAAAACAGTGGGAGCATGTTGTCCTCTGTTCCACCCACCAGATATTATCTCATCCATGGGCCTTGCTGCTGATACTCTGACAATTTCCTGCCAGAAAATGTGCATCCAACGTGTTCAGGAGGGGATGAGGCGAGTGCATGCAACGATAGCTCGCGTGTCATAAAGTGGGCTTCAGCTCCATCGCACAGATCAAGACTTTACAGTGTCCATATTGGAAACAGGTGACAAATAAAACAAGCTGGATAAAGGAAGGCTTTGTAGTGGAGCTCAGCATGCTACGAAATACATGGGAGCGAATACCTCATGCCAAAAACTAATTTTTGCATCATATCTTGGGCGAAACTTCAGACGGACTTTTCATGTCTTACAAAGTGCTACAAAACACACTATTGGATCTTTTGGCTGGGTGTTAAACGTTGCTCTAGAAAGTGGTGGTTGCCAATTAGATCATGGGGCAAGAGTTCCTCCAAAACAGTAAGCTTAGTAAATGGTAAAGAAGACATGCCATAAGATTCTCTCTTTTCATTACCCAGTGTTCTTTTCATTGATTAGGAAACGGGAAAGGAAGCACAATATGCATTATCCACATTGTTATCTAATAAAAAACAGATCTGGAGTTGGTTTGATATCTATCAATACTAATATCTGGAATTTCTGGCACAAACATGTAACTCCGCCCCCTTCCTCTAATATCTCTAGTCTCAATCCTATAATAGCATGATGTCATGGTACTACTATGACATCACTCTCATAGCAATTTTCTGGTTTTCCAAACAAAAATGCTCCCCATAAATTTGTTTGGTCATTTGAAATAGTATCATTTACAATTACATGGCTGTGTTTGCAGATGGTTATTTTCAGATTTAGAAAATAAAATTGAAAATTAAGTGTAATTGGGAGTTACAGGGGAAGATCATTGTCGCCCTAAATGCTGTAGTTATTATGTAATGACAAAATGACTTTGAATGGCCAATAAAAACCCTCAAAGAAATCATATTATGTTTTCTTTGAAAAAAAAAAAAATAGTTTAGTTAAAGCTTAAACTTGATTAGCCGTTTTTTTTCTTTATGGGATTTCCTTTCTTTTCTTGAGGATCATACTGGTTTGAAACTTTTACTCCTCTCAGTCTTCTAGATAGTGTCTTCCTGTGTTTTCCCTGGGGGCCCTCGCTGTCCTCCATGTCAGTTCTGGTTTGAGCCGAGTGGCTGGCAGTCGCTTGAGCCAGAGGTGCCTGTCCTCTGAGCAGCTGTGCGTCTGGACTTTGACACGGGGCAGAGCGACCAGAGCTATGCTAATGGGAACCAAATGGGGCGTGAGTCCCCGGTGGATTACAGAAGGCGAAGGGAAGCATGTGTTTTTATGTATTCATGCACAGGACCTGGGACCCTTGGCTTTTCTCCCCCTCTTTCTGCTCCGTTCTTAAGTCAAACAAGTGGAAGCGGCTACGTCGGCTTTGCACGCACCCCTAATTAATGCGCATTTGGACTAGACAGATTTTCAGTTGAACTGCAAGTTTTGTAAATGCTCAAATCTGATAAGGTGTGTGTACAACAGTGTTTATGTTGGACATAGCTTAGAATGCTTATGGTGACTGACTATAAATACTTTCCCAGGTAAACTCTTTAGTTGAATGTGTGCAAACATGTCTTGTTGTTTGCCAGTTTTTTTTTCACCTGCTGACCCACACAAGAACACTCTGCTTTAGCAAGAACATATCTGTTCAACTCACTCATGGGAAACAAGCCGCAAAACTTCACGAGCCTCCGGTGATCCTGGTTGTCATATCAAATCAGTTTTGCAAGAGTATTTGCATACTTTGGCACTGCGTCTAATGAAACGACAATGTCGGTCGCACTACGGGATCATATAAATCTGAGAACAATTGCTGCTGAAATGCGAGTTATGACATGTGGCATTCATGGGCCTTCCGGGGAATGTCCGAGTCTGACCACGGCCACAGTTCAGTGCTGTCTTTATACGTTTGTCAACCGTCTTATGACTCACCCAATCACCACCTGATTACTCATGGGACACCACTAGCGAGAGCTCAAAAGACCCTAAACTTTTCAATATGCTGACACAGTAAGTAAATCAAAATGCGATGAACAGGCAAAGAAATCAACTCCTACCGCTGACGACACACTTCCCTGAGTCACAAGCATGATAAATGTGTGTGCTCCGGGACAGTCACACTTGTTTATGAATGAACGGATAAGGGACCCAGCTGGCTTTTGTATTGGGAAATTGTGAGGCAGTCCAAGTACAAGGCTGTGATCTCACTATCATATGCCATGCACTCAGCCTCAGCCTGTTTAGATGGACCACAGCGCTAACACCAGCTCGCATTGTCAGTTCAAATGTTGAGGCATCCAGGGAGCAGTGCATCCCATCTTTTGTGCAGACAGCAAGTCCGGGCAGAGGGCCCCCAGCCAGGCCCCTCTCTCTCCCCCTCAAAGCGCTTCCCCAGCCGGAGATCAAACCATCTGCCCAGTGACAGACCTCTGGGCCCACCGACACAAGGCCAGGTTCAAAGCCCGGTGCTGGGGGAGCCGGGGAGAAAGGGAGCAGACCAAGGGAAAGTTGGCAACGAGGTAGAGGAGAGGAGAGAGAGAGCTGGGGAGCACAGGGAGTCATGCAAGTTGATGTATAGGGAAGGTGGTGAAGGTTGAAGCAAAGTAGGAGTAGTCAGAGGAAAGCTGATGAGCACAGATAGCCAGTATCAGCAGGAATTCTTCTGCAAGTGTCAAACTTACTCGCGTATACATCCTTTACATTTCACCTTCAATTACGTGCATGGTCGACTCAGACATTCACCTGTTTGTGTGAATAACCATTGCACTTTTGAGTTATAGTGTAAGCTACTCTACCCGATTAAGAACTTTGGAGCTTCTAAATAGGTTTCAATTTGTTCAATAAAGAGGGATTGACTAAACATAAGTACTAAATCTACAGTCAGTACATGTTAATACAATGTCCTTTGATTATTTATTTAATTGTATATTGGGATTTGCAACACTGTGGTCCTAAGAAGAAAGAAAGACAATAATAACGCTATAAAAAAACAACAAAATACATTTTGGACATTTTGTGCATTGCTCTTTCATTTTTATCAGTTTTTCCACATTTGTATCTCATCAAGAACTGTTTGGTCTGTGCTACCTTTCTTTTTTGGATATTGACATTTGATACCACAGTGTATGGAGTGAAAGAATACTGACACATGTAAAGCGTCTTTGAGTGTCCAAAAAAGCGCTATATAAAACCGATGCATTATTATTATTATTATTATATTCATGTTGTCTGTAATCCAATTATGTAATCTGATGTGTTTGATACAATGCCGTAAAATGTAAGACTAGCGTGGTGTGGTGACCCTGAGCCTATCTTGCTCCTGTCCTCCCTGTCACACCTGCACACTCTGCCCACTGCTTCGTCCAAATGCAAACAACAGATTTTCAATTTAAGTTTGAGCACACTGACCACATGCACAGGGGGAGGCAACCACAGAAGAAATCAAAAGAGTTGCAGTAAAGGGAAAGGATGTATTTCACACACAAAAAAAGGTAGTTTATATTGATTTGAACGTAGAAATATTCAGATACTTGGTAGAACACATTTGAAATGGTTGTATATGTTTGGTTGAAATCTAGCTTAGTGATTTGAAGTCATCGACCAGCTGCATGACAAACAAACTCCCCCGTGCACGCAATCATCGCATACTCTCTTGCTAAAGCCTTTCTGAGAGGGGACATCTCCATGACGCCAAATGGACACAGACACACACACACACATACACACACACACACACACACACCGGCGTGACGACAGGAGGACAGCCCTGTAGAGACTCCCCACAAATTGCCTTTTACTCATCACATGCCCCTGGTGGAACCGAAAACCTCCCTCACTGCTCCTTTCTCTCATTCAAAAACGCAAGCCCAAAAAATCCCCTAGACTCACCGACAAGTTTTGGACGCACTCCGAGATCTAATCTGGCCAATGCCTCTTTATTTTCTTTGACTATTATAATGCAAAAAAAGAAAAAAACGGGGATCATTTTGTGTGAGCAAACGGCAAATTATGTGTACATGGACTTTTTCAGCGACGGCAAGCACTACTGTGGACGGGCTGGCGGCAGTTCAAGACACACGACGGGGCAATAATATTTGTTTCTTTCTGCAGAGTTTTGTTGAAAGAGCGTGTCAGCGTGGCCATTTACTTGTAAACAATAGGCCTCAGTTTGCAACAGCTGAGGCAAAACACAACTATGCTTGAGCGAAAACCTAGTCTGTACAGTTATTATTGGTGACATTTACATATTAAGCTCAATGTGCAATGTTTTGGTTTTGAATTTAGCCAAGTTATGCATGGGTAAGAATGAAGGATTGGTTTTGAAGTATAGCTAAACACATACACATTACATGGCTTGCTTTGGAAATAAATGTTGTGACTATTGAAGGAATCTCTTAACTCTCTCTTATTACTCATTTTGTGCTGTTGCTGACGATACATTTTGTTTGTCTTGTAAAAGAAAAAGTATCAACGTATCTTTTGCATACCTGTAAGAAAGAACAGTGTGATTCAGTTAATAACTGAGATCAGATTGGCTAACTTTGGGTGGTCTTCTCTTTTTCACTTTTCTGCCTGCCTTAATTAAAGATGTAACAGACACCAAAGAGTATATGCATGTGAAAACTAGTGATAGAGCCAAACCGTTTTTTTGTTGGTTTGCAAGTTAGGTACCCCAGCTTTAAAACACTGATCTAATGCTAATCTGAATGGTTATTCATGGCATTATAGATATTAAAATGGCAGAGTGTGCCTACCTGAACAGGCATAGCAAGGACAGCCCTCCAACATCAATATGGCAATTTTAGCAATACATCCAGCCTTGTGCATGTGCCTTCGAATGCCTTTGCCCAATGACTACAAGGCTGCAGGGACAAGCATGTCACTCCCAAAGCCACACAGTCATAGGAGGTGTGTGTGTGTGTGTGTGTGTGTGTGTGTGTGTGTGTGTATGGGAAGGGACAAGGGAAGAGGGAGGGACCAGGACGGAAGACCAAAGGAAAGTCCATCGTGGTGTTGGAGTCTTTATCAGTCTTACAAAGTTCACAGATAGAGGAGCAGAAGTGGAGGCTAGACGCTCCAGTCACGGGTCACAGACAGGCGCAAGGGAAATGGGAGGGACCGCAATTGTTACTTTAATACAAGGTTAATCCTTAGTCCTTAACTGAAAGACATCTCTAAGTATCTGCAAAGGATATATGAGTAGCCTACTTCCAAAATCAATGTATAGAATCCAGTCCGATAACAATCTATATATGATGTACATGGGCGTCATTCCTGCTCTTATCAAAGCTAAAAAAAAATCTTGAATAATATAGTAACAGTAAAAGTCAACATTCATTAATGCAATCCTTTGTATGCCTGCAAGAAAGCCCGGAATGCACCTCTTGTGAGCTGAGTGAGGCTGGTCCTCTTTTTGTCACTTTACTTTCTGTTTAAAAAGCTGACAGGCTCTAATAATGTGACCAAGACCAAAAAATATACGTATGTGAAAACCAGCGAAGCAACTGAACTGCGTTGAGAGCGAGGGACTTGTTTCATGGATTTAATTGTGCATAATTGTCTTGTGATTGGAAAGTTGTTGGTACCCAGCTTCAACACAATATGAAGCGGTATTAGAAAACGGTTTGAGTCACACAATAATGGCGTGAGGGTGATCGGCGCCAAGCCACAGTGATTTCCATCCCCGACATCGACCTGACCAAATTGCCCGTTGCCTCTCAGGACCTCCCCAAGTCCGCTTCATTTGGCCAAAACCGCTGCTCCTTATTCCCGCAATTATAAAGCTATTGACTAATTCGACATATGTTAGCGTGTCTTCCAGCCCTTGCGCCTTTGACTCATTAACTTTGACAAATTGTGACCGACTTTTTTTATCGCCACCCAATCACGAGAAACAAGACTTAACGAGTGGCTGTTTCCCCCCTCTTTGCACTTTTTTTTCTCTTTTCTTTTTTTTTTGCATTCCTGTGAACGCGCCACCAGGCTTCATATTTATAATTCTACCACATCCTAACAATAACAGCACAAAACACGCGGTCTAATGAATCTCATGCCTCCACCGCGCTGAAATAGCTCGTAAGTATTACCAGCTGTGACATTTTTTTTTTTTCTTCTTATCCATTCCTTGGCAGTGGCATTGAGATTGTGAGGGAAGTAGAGGGGGGGTTGTTGGACCATCCAGGCATATGCAGCTGGACCAGGGGTGGGAGAGGAAGAAGCGGTGGGGGTGTTGGTGGTAGATAGACCGCAAGTGTCTGTATTTCCAGCTGCCTTTCTCAGGGGCTCGGTTTTCTCTGGTTTTTTTTTCACAAGGCCCTCCTGGTCCCAGCTTACTTGAAAAATCACAAACACACACACACATGCACTGATCCACCTCCCCTTCATTCCCTTTGCGTTCAGCCATTTTTGTTTGGACAGGGCTCAGGAGTTCCAGAAAAGCTCTCTCAGATGTGCTGAAGTAAGGGAAAAACAAAACAAACCGGCCCTCACGAAACACTTGAGTTGTACACGGACGTGCCGACAAGTACTTTGCACTGGTGTAATACTTAGCAGTCCAGTGGAGATAATTTGGTCCCCTATTGCCCGGCCTCTTGTTTGTTCAACAAAATTGCCCTGTTCGCTTTACATGTAAAGACATCGACTCCAACCTCTGTAAATATATAGGACTACATTGAAATGACAATATTCCAAAACGTATTGCTTGTTTTATCACACAAAAGCTGGGGTGACTAACTCCCCCCCCCCATAAATAACACATGTTATTGGTCCGCAAAAGCGTCTTTTGCAAGTAAAATTATATGAACAAATCAGGCCACAGCTTTTGCATACTTGTAAGAAAGTTCCTTGTGAGCCACGACACGATGCTTGGCAAAGTCAGGGTGGTCCTCTCCTATGAAACTTTTCTGTCCTGAAAAAGCTGATCCAAAGTTGTGACAAGGGCCAAAAATACAGGCTTTAGTGATAGAACCAAACTGTTTTTGTGAGCAAGGAGCGAGCTAGATGGATTATATCATATTGTTACAGTTTTTTTATTAATCCCAACTCGGTTTGAAAGTAAACATTGACAACAGAGGTTCAAAACTGTAAGCTACAACTGTAAGCTACATTCTGTTAATTTGAGATGAGATCGCACCACACAGTCACTTTGTCTAAAGATTGATGAAAACCAGGACTTTTGATATATCTCATAATGTAAAAAGTAGCTCCATAGTCCCTCCTTGTTGTGCGACTACTCCTCTCCAGTGTGCGCCTGTGTGTGTCCCGTCGCAGCCCTCAAGCATACCTCGACATATGTTACCTCTTTGTAATATTGACTTTGTTACAGCTAGACGAGTGGGAGAGTCAAGCCAAAAGCCAGGTCTTTGCAGCAGCGGGGCCCCAGGAGTTCGCTGAAAAACAAATACATGAGCGGACCCTGCCGATAGAAAACAGAGCAACACAACGGCCATCTGTAAGCACAGCTCGTATTAAATATCTGTCACCCCCGCTCTTAACCTTAGCCCTTTTCACCCCCAAATTAACAACACTGTCCATTTTGTGCGATGTGATGCTTACAAAGCCGTGGGATTTTGCCGCACAGTGATTCTTGGCCCTGTCTTCTGGTCGGAGCATGTGTATCGGACTAACTATAAAAGTCGAAAATCCACTTTGCTTAAACCCTAGGCTTACTGTATAATTTCAATCGAATGCCAAGCCAAATCTAGGCAGGGATCTGTACTCCTTTGTCTTCAACTCAATAATTTAGAGGATGAGAAGCACAATAAGAAGTTGCAGAAGAATCAAAGGCAGCATTATCAATTTGGAATGAAAAGCCGAATGTATGTTTATGCGATTGCTTTGCAGAAATAAAAGATTGATTATGATTTTGCTCGCTCGCACCACTGTGATTCCCATCTTGTCTCTTTCCCCCAGTGATGACTTTGCTTATACATTTGAATAATGAAGGCGAGTCATTTAAATATTCCCTCTGTATTAAAAAAAATATGTTTTCACGCGATGCAGCAATATTAGCCATGTTAATTGGGCTCTTTGGACTTTCCCAATAGAAAGGCTAAATTAATTACTTATGTCGACAAAATGTCAGGCGAGCCCATGTGATCACTACCACTGTTGGCGTGCTTGTTGTGTGCTACGCGTCTCTGTGTGCGCGCAGATAAAAAAAAAAAAAAACGCACAACGTCCACTTAATCTAATGAACGAAATGGGAACAAAACGCTTTGACAACCTCTTCATGTTCCAAGGGTGACTCTCGAGGGTGCTCCTCCAATATTCATCCTCTCTTCTTCATATTAATCAGCCACTGCGGTATTGACTGTTTGTGCGCCGTGGCGTTGGAGCTATCACGTAATACAAACACCTCTTGCACTTTGATGCGCAGAGATGTCAGGTCCGGACTAGGATATATATATGTATATACTGCGAAAGACAGCGAAGAGAGAGCATTATCGGTAAGTCGCTCCCCCGTGTGCGTTGATTAGTACCAGTGAGCCATCACCACTGGGGCCTTTGAAGTTCCACGTTTTTGTAGCTTGTGGCTGTTTTTTGTCAGGGAGGGAAAAAATCTGTATCAGCGCATTTTGTATCTGAGTAAACATTAAGACTTGAGAAGATATTTGAAAGTATAGACGACGGAGTGTGATGGGCGCAGTGGAGAGAGGCCTACTGCTGATGCCATGTTTCAGACAACCCCCTTGAAGTGTAAATGAGATTCCTCTTGTCTTCTAACTAGTCCGTTCTCACCAAGTCAGCAAACTCCACCAGTTAATGCCCGACACCCATTCGGCTCTGTGGTCAGCATGCAAGATGAAGACGCCCTGGAGTTCAGCTTAAGGGGACTGGTAAGGGTTGGATTTTAAAGAGTCTATACCCAATTTCTATGAAAAGCAAAAGCAGTTTTTGCCCTAATTATCTTTTTTTAGATTACGAGGGGGATGATTTGTCACAGCGAGCTCATAAGCCCCTTTCACAACCATACTAGCCAAGAGTGTTTGACATCTCTTGCACTTTTTTGTTGCATTCTTGTATATTTTATGTGTTTGTCTGCAAATGAACCTCATCACAATCTAAAATAAGTGTTCAGTTTCCAGCCATCATTGTCCATTTGACCCTTTAGGCCAGACATGGGCAAACTTTTCCTCCTGAGGGCCACATTGGAAATTAGGTCCGGATCCCGACAGCCGACTGATATTCCAATGTTTTTCACAGGCTTCATTTTAAAACATAAATGTATGGTTTATAAACTTTATATGAATAAAATAGCTCTGCACACAGCACAGAGGGGGATTGCATGATGTTTAAACTGAAATTACCCCACTGTGGGATGAATAAATGTTCTCAATCCGAATCTCTCTTGATCTTAATCTTAATCTATATAACTTGAGGAGGGCTCAGGGGCCTGATAGAAGCATCCAAAGGGCCTCATCTGGCCCACGGGCCGGGGTTTGCCCACCACTGCTTTAGGCGCTAACGTAGCAGAAATGCGACCTGGCTTCCCGCAGAAGTTTTCCTTCATTGTTCCTAAATTGTCACCATTCATCTATTTATTTTATTGATCTCACTCGTCCTCTTTATCTTATAAAGTTCAGAGCAAGTTGTGAAAAAACACTTCTACCAATGGTACGTCTAAATGACAACTTCGCAGTGTTATTCAGACCAGTTACCATAAAATACATTTGCCACCCATCTACTCAATTCAGCAGTACATGTTGATGAATTCTTAGGATTTTTTTCACAAATCTCGCTCAGGTGGGGGCCTGGATGGCGGATGAACCTGCTCGTTCACCTGAGGGTCCAGGGCCGTCCCGAGAGCAGAGCGACAGCTGTACACGGCTGCTCCAGCGATAGGCATCATCGGCTTGCTACACACTAATTGGTCCACAGTGCTCCTCCGAGTGGCCTCGCTAATTAATTAGAAAGGCAGTGGAGCTGAAATTTTTAATCAGGACACCAGGCTCTCCAGCAAGCAGGAAAAGAGACACATCAGGCCATCATTTCATGTAATACACCTGGCGCCCATCTCCCAAGTCATCACCTGCAGTGTCTTATGTGTTTAGGTATTCCTCCGATCCGCCTTAGGAGCGGGAAACACATTTATTACACGCTTCTTAAATCATTTTAATTTGTGGATTACTTAAATTTGTGTCCTAATATACTACAGTATGCATGAGTTTAAGTTATCTCATCTTATGTCTGGTTAACATAATGTGTGATTTTTGCTGAACTTTTAGATGTTTAAATTACATTTTCCTTTCACTGGGTATTTGCTGGGTATCTTTCACCTCGATGCAAAGGGTGCGATACAATATGTACCTCAATACAGGGTACTTCTAATTTGACATGATTCAATACAATATATTTCAGAGCGATTTGACGCAAAAATATTTATTCAAATTAATTGTTGAAAAATGTTGCCCTACACAATACATCTGTTAACAATGTGTGCGTCTATAACATTTTTTTTTTTTTTTTTTTTTTTTTTTTTTTTTATAAATTACTAAACAATAATTCATATAAAATCTCATTTCAAATGTCTATTTTTATTTTTTAGTACACCCTTAAGTCACGTGTAAAACATATCGGGTGATAATAATGTGATTTAATTCTCATAAATGACATCTCCCCCTATGTTTATTGACCCACGACGTGTTATTATCCTTCACACCTCTCTTTCAAAAACCTAGTATTCCCATTGAGAATAGTGGAAATAAAAAACATTATTTCTCCCTTTCTCCGTATCTTGACTTAGCTAATTAAAAGCAGCCAGTCAAACTTTCCCTTTCCAAGTGACAGCAAAAATCTCTATCCCATGTTGAAAAAAAAAAAAAACCCTCTCGGTTTAACATTTCTTGGGCAAACGGGAGAAGCCGCTTTCACTACTTAAGGGGCACGACGCCGCACACACGCACCGCAATGATTTGTGGTGAGGAAGGGCCCTGCAGTCTGGGAGGAATCAGCAAGGGCCCAGAAGACGAGAGGCATGCTTAAGTGAGAGTTACACTGGTCAGCCACTTCACACACAATACAAGGGAAACAACAATTACAACATGTGCTTATCATTGCCTTCGCCAGATGACAAAGTCCTGGGGAAAATCACTGTGTGTGTGGACATGTGGGCAGGAAGTTCTCTTATGACTTAAGGGCTAGAGCAAGTTTACTAATCAATTATTATAATAGTTGTCAACTGATTTAGTAATCGATGCATGTTTTTTGAGCATTCATAGACTTAAACATTACATAGACTTAAGGCTAGCACCATCAGTATCCTCTTTTAAATCTCTTCTTAAAACCCACTTTTATCAAACAGCTTTTAACTGTTAGTTTTAAACTTCCGATGCTGTATTTTATTGTCTGCTTTGTCTTTGTTGAGTCTCTTTTGTGTTTTGCTCTGTTTGCTTTGTGTTTCTGTATCTAATTATTTTGACCTTGCATTATGACTGTTTTTATTGTTTATCATGCTGACTGTGCAGCGCTTTGTAAACACTGTTTTTAAAAGTGCTATATAAATAAAGATTATTATTATTATTATTATTATTAAACATGCTGAGAAGAAGCTGTATGCTGGAGTGCCTAACTTTGAAACCACAAAAATAAATAAAATCCATGTAACTCTCAAAACTTTAACTGTTTCATTTTATTACTAGTTTTCACATGCACATACTTTTGGTCTCTGTCACAGCTTTAGTACCAGCCCTTTCTCAGATGATTTTTTTCACTCAAGACTTTTCCTTTTTTGATGAACTAATTGTATTAATGATACAAAAAAAAAAGTTTTAACCAAACAACCCAATGTGTAATTGTTACAAGTGTGAAGAGGTTCTCCAGGAGCCTCACTTGAACTGTGTTTTGGTAAAAAAAATCCGCACAGACACAGAAAACCATTTTGGTCACATATGTCATGGTATGTATCATGTCTTTGTCATTTATTAGCAGAAGTTTGCACAATTGGACCTTTAGCTCTTGCGGTGGCCGGTGCTAATCTTTGTGGCCGTCTCGGTGCTAATCAGCCTGCCGCTCTTATCTTGCCTGTTGCTTTGGCCAAAATAAACATGCGCCGCCTTTTTATTGCTTTGTTTTCACAGGTCATTAGGGGAAGAGGAGAAGAAGCATTGATTAGTTTTCCAGACCACTGGATTATTGTTGTGTTATGACGATCATCATTAAGTTTCATTAGGGCTGTGGTTGTTCGTGTCTCCAGAAAATGAAGGAGGTGCAGGGGAATGAGATGTTTGTGAGAGTGAAGACACGCAGCGGTTTACTTAAGGTGAGGCACATTCAAAACGGGCCTCACTGCTTAGTGTTGTCACCATAATTTTACACACACAATTCCAACACTAAGATATAGGCAGAAAGAAATTGATTTTTATTTTCACATTATCACATTATCACATTATTGACAAACAGATGACAATTTTGACATCAAAATATAACATTATTGCACTTTTATCATTGGTTTTCTACTATATTTTAGGTTTTCAGGATTTAATACCAGTTTTATTTTTGATTAATAGCTAATTTCTGATACTTTTGACAACCCTACAGTATTTGAGCTTACTCTGTTAATGTAATGTCGCTTCTAAGACTTTTGATACACTTCACCTTCAGAAAACCAGATAATTTACAACTTCTGCATAATTTTGTAATGACCAGCTCAGTTTTTTAACATAGTTTGTAGGTTGTAACAAGTTTATCAATTAATTACGACTAACTGAATTGTGAAATAAGTGTCTTTGGGATTTCAGCTAGCTTGCAAACAATGCAAATTGAAATAAAAAATGTCGCTTGAATTATAGTGGCGCTAATACATTTTACAGGTAATACAACTCGCTCTGCCTTTCACATTTAGGTGCAAACCCCCTTAATGAATCTGTTCCTTGTCCTACCGGCCCACTTCCTCCTGCGTTCCCCAGGCAGGCGAGGAGGTGGCTCTGTCGCGGGGCTAATTAGCATGTGTTCACTAGTTAGCGAGAGGGCGGCCCTGTGTGATGTGTGCTGAAGTGGAGTAAAATGCCGGGGCTCGTGCTAATGGCCCACTTCCTCCCGGCGGACAGCCTCTCCACAGTCCCACACTAGCTGGCATCAGTGTTACCACGGGGCACCAGCCGCCCAGCACAATGCCAGGGATGGTGCCACGCTGGTCATTAGTGCTGATGGTTTTACTATATTCATCTCACAGCGTTTATAATGTATATTAGGCTTGAAAGTTTACACACCCAGGCAAAGATTCTGATTGTTTTGGGCCATATTTCCAAGATTTACTTTTTTAAATCTTGTGCTGTCCTTGGGTCAAATTGAAATAAATTGAAAGTGATGACTTTTCCAAACTTGACCAGCCTTGGGTTATTTCGACCCCTTTAGACTATAACTTAGGTTATTCTTCTTCTACTTTTAATCACTGTGGCGGTTCATTTTTACCTGAGGGCAGCACAAGTGTTCATTGTTAGTGGTTGTATGAACCCATTGTCAATTAAATGTGTTTTCTATTTCCAAAGTATTTAGACAACAGAAAGTCCCCCTTGACATGACAGATTGTGGATGAGGCTCTCTCGCCTCTCTGATGGTAATGATGCCCAATCTTCTCTGCAAAACAGCTTCGAAATTCCTGTACATTTCTAGACTGTCTTACATGAACTGCGCTTTTGAGCACTCTCCAGAGCGGCTGAATGATGCTATGAATCGACATCAAAAACAGGCGGAATTTGACAATAAATAGCTTCACACAACCACTAAACTTAAGTAAAATAAGTGTCTTGCATTTATAATCTCCAATAATAAGGACGCATCTGCCAGGGAGTATAAACATTCAACCACTACTGTTCCTCCAGCATTTCGATTTTCTGTATTCCTATGCTCCATTATTTCTATTCGCTTGTTGTCTGTGTATAGCAATTGAATTACAGAAGCCGTTACATAATTGGGGGCTTGTTCTCAAAATTCCCATAACACAGTGACACCAGTGTTTGCTCACACATTCAATTTGCACTGAAAAAGGCCCGGCATAAGTGGCATGCAGGGCAACAGACTCATCAGACTATGAAATAGCGGCGACAGCTGGGGTCACGCCACTAGCTCGCCGCCTGGCACCGCGAGCGCATTATTTACAGCGGAAGCGGGGCATTAGCGCGCGCTTTGGCACTCGGTTAGAATGCGTTGTAGGTGGCAAACGGCAGCAGTCAGCCAGTGTATCTCTGTCAGTGTGAGTAAACAAACAGGGGACATGATGTGACAGAGCAAACAGAGTCCCACACACACACATACACACACATACGCATGCAAACTCATCGGGGACGCACCAGGGAGACGGGAAGAGAAGGGAAGAGGAGGGAGGGATGGCATCCATATTTATAGGGCCTTTCTAGCATTTGTCCCCAGGCCAAATGCTGTGACTACACTCTGCTAATGTCAGAACAGCACTTAGCCAGGCATTTCCAGTATGGCACTGTCGACTGGGAATACAAGGACTTATACTGCTGTCGCGACACTAGGAGAATTATGACACATGCTTCACTTTTATCATGAGTAAGGCTGCAGCAACACGGTTTTTCTCTCAAAGCTCTTTACCATTCAATTTAGAAAACCTCTGTGATAGATATGCTCAACATGAGGACAGATTAAGAACTACTTAAATGTATGAGCATGGAGTCACTATTTGCATTGAAACACATTTTTGAATCCGGTTTATTTTTGTGCAAAATGATAAATTTCATATACAAATAATAACTTCTTTACTTTCACTTCTATTTATTAATTCTCCTATTTCAGTACTAACCCCATGCCACTTACACAAAAGACAAAATGCATCTTGGTATTTACCGGCAATGACTGGAATCTCCACTGCTCCTCTTTAG